TCAATTTATTATTCAAATAATAAATTCAACCTCTCTCTCCAAAAGTCATCCTGTGTAGTTGCTAGTATGAAGGCAACCCAAAAGGACTGTGTCACTATCAATTCAAGTACATACCAATTATAGTTATGGGTTTAGACACCTAATCCAACAGAAGCTTGGGTATGCCACACACGACTTGGCCACATTAATTTTGGCGCGATTAACTTGATGCACAAGCTAGCTAAAGGGGTACCGGTAATCCAACATCAAGACCAACTTTCTGAATCTTGCATGACTAGAAAACAAACAAAGCAGTCGTTTGCAAAGAAAGCTAAGTATAGAGCTATAAATATTCTCGAGATGGTGCATGGAGATATTTGTGGACCAGTTGATCCCCCCACCCAAGCGGGTAATATTTATATTTTAGTTCTTATTGATGATTATTCTAGATATATGTGGTCTCTTCTTTTGAAGCACAAAAGTGATGCATCCAGAATTATTAAGAGCTTCAAGACTTCAATTAAAAAAAGAACCGGTAAAGAGAATAAGACATTTCATACGGATAGAGGCGGAGAGCTCACATCACATGAGTTGAATTGTTTTTGTAATGAAGAAGGGATAACGTGTATGTTAACGACTCCTTACGCACCTCAACAAAACAAAATTGTTGAGCAGAGAAATCAGACTCTACTTGAGATGACTCGGTGCTTAATGAAAGCAAAAGATGTCCCTAACCAATTTTAGGGTGAATCAATTTTTCATGCAACTTACATTATGAAATCGAACACCAACTTGAGCATTGATAGGTGTTACACCATTTGATAATTTTTTATGGTGAAAAACCAAACCTTGAAGATTTGAAAGTATATGGGTGTGTTGCATACGAAGGAATTGTCTCAAAACATTTGAAGAAGGTTGATGATAGGTCACGTCTATTGGTGTATTTTGGAAAAGAACCCAATTCGGGAGGATTTCGGTTATATAATCCATGCGAAAATAAAATCATTATAAGTGCCTATGCAGTTTGTGATGAAAATAAGACATGGTAATGTAGTAATTAACCCAAAAATCAAGCTGGAAATGGACCGGGTGCATTTACGATTTTGTGGAGTAACGATCAAGCAACCCAATTTAATGGTGGTTCAAGCTCAAATGCAACTGAAACCGAACAAACCATTGATCAGACCCAAACCGTCTAAACCAATGACACTTCTCACGGTAACAACAACCCATCACAACATGTTGATGGTAATAAAGATCCAGATTCTCTTCCATTTCGACGGTCCACTTGAACTTCGGTGTTGCCAAGAAGATTAAATGACTACGAGCTAAATGTGGATCATTCAATGTTGACATTCAATGAAGAACCAAGGAATTTTAAGGAAGCCAAAGTGAACAAGAATTGGCTCGATGCAATGAAGGACGAAATTGACTTCATCGAAAAGAACCACACTTAGGAATTAGTTCCTCCACCTAAAGATGCTAAACCTACCGGGTTAAGATGGTTGTATAAATTAAAAGAAATATGAGTGGATCGATGACAAGGTACAAAGCGCATCTAGTGGATAAAGGCTATGTACAAGAGCAAGGTATTGCTTTTGTTGAAGTATCCGCGCTAGTAGCTCGTCTCGTGATAATAAGACTATTGATTGCTCTCTCAGCCGGGAACAAATGGAAGATTCATCACTTGGATGTAAAAACAACATTTTCATATGGTGACTTAAAATATGAAGTGTAGGTTAGCCAACCGGAAGGTTTCATGAAGCAAGGTGAAGAAACAAAAGTTTACAAATTGGCAAAAGCTTTGTAACATTCGCGATTTTGGGGTATGTTCCTTTTAACCCCTATTTGTAATTCTTTTCATTATTGGTCCCTAGCCAAGTAAGCGGGGTGTACTATATGAGTACGCTGAGCGTATTGGCTTGAAGAATGGATGCGGAGGCACCCACGTACGCTCGGCGTACGTGGGAGTACGCTGAGCGTACACTAAGTAGGGGAAAACCCAAATTTTTAGGGTTTATGCCGTATTTAAATAACTTATGTTGCCTTGGGTGCATCTTATGGTCAGCCTCCACTTCTTCAAACCCTAAGAACAAAACCCTAATCTTCATTGAGTGTTTGTGAGCCTTGGTGTGATCTTTTGTGGTGTTTTATGCCCCTTGAAGGAAGTGAACCTTGGTGGTGAGGCTTTGGTGGACTTGGAGCTTGATGATCCAGGATCTTCATCAACTTTGCAAGCTATTTGAGGTATAAAGGTCCTAACTTGATGGTTCCTTATGCTAGATCTAGTTTAGTGCTTCATTTGTGCATTTTTGGGTCCTTTGAGCCTTGTTGGGGAGTATGGGCTACTCCATCAGCTTGGGATGGTAGATCTAGGCTTTTCTAAGGTCCTTTGTGCATAAAAATGATAACTTGATGTGTTTAGCTCAACCATACAAGGTTGATATCCTTCTTAGTGGAGTTAAGATGCTAGAAATTGAACTTTGGGGTGTTTTTAGCCATGCAAAGTATTAAAGTCTTCGAATTTATGGGTTTAGGACCTTAATATGATGCTAGTTTGAGGATTGGATGTTAAGTTCTTAAGTGGTTAAAACTTTTGATGAAGGACTTGGAATCAGGCCAGTATGCGGGGCGTAGTCCTGAGTATGTTGAGTGTATTGGATGCGAGCCCCGTCTTCGTATCAATCGTGTACGCAGGGCGTACGAGCCTGGTACACCGAGCATACTAATCAGTGGGCCGAAGGAGTTGTGGGCTTGGTTTATTTGGGCTTTGTTTTGATTATGCTTGGACCCTTAACTTATATGGATCATTTCTGGACTTTGGGCTATCGTTGGACATTGGGCCTTCTTGGATTGGGCCACAATGGGCTTTGGGTGCCATTTAGGATTTTGGGCTATATTGGTCTTTTGGAGTTATTGGGTTGGGCTAAGTGAGGAAAGGGTAAAATGGTCTTTTACCCTGGGAGTTGGACAGATGAATGAGATTCATAGCTTTGGTTTATGTCCTAACTTATTAATTGGGTTTTATTTGATTGGTTAGCGTAGGGATTTCCGGATCAGCAGTTCGAGCTTTTATCTGAGATATTCGACAGCTTGAGGTGAGTTTCCTCACTGTGCTTGACGGGTTGAAGGCACCATACCGATCCATGATTTGTTATGGATAGGATGCTAGTTGTTTGTGTGACTCTTGCATGTGTTGTATGTGATATGTATACCGGGCGGGGCTCGATGCTATGCGGGGCGAGATGATTATATTGTATGTTATTTGTCTTAGTGATTACTGTTTATGTTTATGTGGCTATATGTATACTGGGCGGGGCCTGATGGATATGATGTGGCGGGGCCCTTATCATGATATTGATAGATATGTTCCAAGCGGTGCTCGATGTCGGGTGGGACCCGATGGGTGTTGGGCAATGGCCCATTGTATGTTAGATATATATGGTATGTGGTGTTTTGGGAAACTCACTAAACTACGTGCTTACGGTTTTCAGTTTATGTTTCAGGTACTTCCGGATCAAAGGGGAAGAGCTCGGGGTGATCGCATCGCGCACACCATATTGTACCGCATTTTATTTGAATCTGATGTATTTGGATGTTTTATTCACACTCTGACTCCATTATATGGTTTTATGAACATGTTTTGAATAATGGTTGTATTATTCTAAAAATTGAAATTTTTGGTCTTAATTTTGGGACGTTACAAGCTTTATACGGTCTTCGACAATCTCCAAGAGCATGGAATTTGAAAGTTAATAATACTTTGAAAAATATGGTTTTCAACGATGCATGCAAAGAAAATGCAGTTTATAGAAAGGTTTCAAATGGGTTGCTTACGATATCTCTTGCACACTCGTCCCGTTTGAGCATATTCGGTTGGAGTAGTTAACCGTTACATGCAAAGTCTTAGAGAATCTCATGCACGTGCTATTAAGAAAATTCTTTGTTACTTGCGTAGTACAACATCTTTTGGGATAATATATAAACGAAGTAAATATATGAGTTTCCTAGGTTACAGTGATAACCGATATAATGTTGATGTTGATGATGGTAGAAGTATAACATTACATGTTTTCTACCTAGGTGACTCACCTATCACTTGGTGCTCCCAGAAGCAAGATACAGTAGCATTATCTTTGTGTGAAGTTGAGTTCATAGCAGCTACTGCAACTGTGTGTCAGGCGGTTTGGTTAAAGGAGTTGTTAGTTGAGCTGACAGGAATGAAGAAACAGAAGATGATGATTCGCGTAGACAACAAATCAACAATTGCACTGTCAAAGAATCATGTCTTTCATGGAAGAAGTGAACACATCCACACTCGATTCCACTTCGTTCAAGAGCGTGTTGAAAACGAACAAGTGATAGTAGAACATGTTTCAGAGACAAGCAACATGCGGATCCACTTACGAAGGCCTTAGCTCGGATAAGGTTCATAGAAATGAGATCGTTGCTTGGTGTACAAGAATTACCCTTGACTCAGAAATTCAGGGGGTGATTGTTGACGAATTTATCCGGGTCCAATATGGCTTGTTGCGTGTTTGGATCAAATCACATTATCTTGGAGTGTTGTCCAAGGTTTTCAAGCCTTCCTTGAACCATAAGAAATGCTTTTGTATGGAAAGTTTTGTTTGATTATATTTAGGAATCCTAGTTTAATACTAATATAGGTTCGTGTGATCAAATTCATAGATTGGAGTTTTGAGTTTAGTTTCTTCAATAAATTACGAGTTCATGCAATACAAGTTAGTGTTTTGTTTTGTTTTGTTTTGTTTTTGTTTTTTTTTTTTTTTTGCTTTTACCATATGCTTATATTTAATTTGGTAAAATTGTATTACTTTTAGATAAAAAAAACTCATGTTTTTCAACATAAATATAGTTTGTGTCACGTGAAAAACGACATTACAATTTTAATTTGTGCTTGATATGAGTTTTAAGATTTAAAAAGTATTAGATTATATAAATTATTCTTTGCTACACTAATTACTTTACATACATTAAAAAATTGAAAAAAAAATTGTGGGTTCGAGTGCAATCATTCAAAGCGTTTTAGTTTCTTTGTTGTACAAAGGCCCCTTCAATTTGCCAAAAATGTCACAAACACACCCTTTTGAATTTGAAAAATCCTATATCTACTCATCTTTCTTCTTCGCGCACCTCACTTGGATAGCAAGTCTTTTAAATTTGTCTTGAGAACAAGATTTGTCACCGCTTGGGTCGCCCAAAATTGCTCTATCGAGGGGGATTCTGCAACTATTCTTTCCCAAGCAAGCCTATAACAATTTGCAATGCACTAATTAGTTAGAGGATACTAATTAATGCGTACAACAAGTAGATTTATATCAATTATGATATGTGTTGCATTATTCTATTATTAACGACACATAACACATAACTGAATCTTAGTGGATTGAGTCAACAATGCCACTTTGGGTTTCGAGTTTTACCTTTTTAACTACTTGCTTGGCATTGGGAGATTGACATGTTCCTTGAATATATGTCCCACACGATCCCCAAGGGTTGCCAAAGCTCGCAAATTGGATTTCCTTGATGAATTTATCAGGGTCGCAAGTAAGTTGAGCTTCTGGCTTAGGTGATTCCAAGGTGGTCTTAAGAACACCTCCCTCCATTTTCCATATGTCAATATTTGGCGGATAATCCTCATACATAAAGCTACAAATAATGTCGCGATTGACAGTATTGATCACAACACCATCAATGGTTCCACCGCTCTCCTCGTACACAACCAAAAGGTTGTTCTTTGGTTTTAAGAATGACCTTGGGATGTGATACCTGGACAAAAATGGACGATATATTTTATATCAACGTTCCTTCTTCTTTGAAACTAACAGAACACTTAACATTCTCTCTTTTTTACTTTCAACTTAATGTAGACGTTGGACGAGACTTATTTAATAAGTTATATGTGAGTGTTCTTTTTGACACAATGCAGAAAGACTGATTTAATACGAAAAAGAATTAGGAAATCGTATTTATCTATGCATTACTTAATGGGAAAAGAATAGGGTCTTACTCGGTTTGAGAAGGGGCCCCAAGAGGTGAACGATAATTTTCCCAATAACGACCAAGGTTATTACCATTGACCCAAACTACACCTTTGCCCATTCTCTCCATCTTGATCGCAACCGGATTATTTCCTTCAGGGGTGGCAAAATTCGTCTGCAACATAAATTTTTTCTCAAAATGTTAATCGACAAGTAGTTCATGTGACTAAAACGTGAATCTTAATTTGAATGAAATTTTATTAGGTATATGTATACCTAACATAAATGCAAGTAAGATATATAATAATAGTCCCTACACTATATATATATAAATACAAATTAAAACAACTACAGTAATGCTAATTGTTACCTTGTACCATGTAATAGGTGTTCCTGGTCCACTGGCTGGGTTCCATTTAACTTTCTTGGATCCTTCTTCTGTGTACAATTGGAGTGATTCTCCCTCGATGCCAACCTAAATATAAAAATCGTAATTTTGGTACATGGGTATATACAATATATAGATATAGTCATTGTAATTGGGCCTCTTACTTTTTGTGTTAACAAAAGTTAAGTCCTTATAAATAATACGTACCTTATGACCCCATTGGTTAAGCGTGAGATCAAGAGAACCACTACTCATACCCTGTAGAATAACAGCTCGAATACCCGAAAACCTCTTCTCCATATACGCTCCACTATTCTTCACAATGAAAGTAGAAAGAAAAACGTCCAAAATTAGTCCTGCTAACAACACATATTTCAAATATGTGTTGTGAATATATAGCACGACCATATATATGTCATTGTCCATAGGTTAACGTTATATATGTTGTTTTGAGTTTACCGGTAGTCCCACAGTCATTGCCAAGATCGATATGTGATTGACTCCAGTCTTCAAACTCACAGGTTTGGAGAACGAAAATGACTTCTCAATGAAGCTCCCATGTCCAAATCCTGAATTATATTTTTTTCATACATGTTAATAGTTTTCTGTATAGGAATCTAGTAGTGAATGAATGATGGATCTCACCTATATATTCTCCATTAACGAAAGCCAATAATGCATCCCCAAGACTTTGAATCTGAATAACAGGCAAGATATCTGGTCTCATGGGTAGATCGTCACTATCAAGATGTAAGCTACAAGAAAAATAAAAAAAACATCATATATATGAAAGATTCGGTTAAAACATATGGTTGAGACTTGAGACTTGAGAGATTAATATTTTTAATAAGGTTCGAACGTCTATTTTACCTTGTGCTATACCACATATAATCTGTGGTATCTTTTGTCATGGAGGTGAGTTCCAATGGTGTTTTACTCATAACTGGTAAATCTTTAGCTATTGGAATAGGTTCCCGATAGCTTTCCCATTTAAATTTATTCGCTTTCTTTGAAAGTACGAAGCTCCTTGAGTTATGTTGTGATACGATCTGTTCTTTTTTTCATATATCGACATTAGTTTCACCATTAGGAGACATGCAAATGAATCTTTTACAAGAAAAAACTCACAAGTTCTGTGTTATAAACGACAGTTTTGCAATCAGGAAGAATGGCGACAGATCGCCTTGGTAGGAAATAACTTTTTCCTTTGAAGTCGATGGTACGATGAATCTTTCTTGTGCCTGTTGCTCAAGAACGCTAAACAAATGTTGCTTTCTGGTTTCTCGTATGTGATAATCTGCAAAGTCATTAGTCAACGTCTCAAAAGTCATCATTAATTGGATGATTCAGATTTCAGAGTGTATAAAAGTCACATATCCGAAAGAAATTCTTACTTGGACAAATTTGTTGATATTTTTGACTTTTTGAGTACCCAAAAGAAAAGGCTGCTTTACCAATCTCAAAGTCGTGTGGAGGTCTCTAAGGTGACTCCATTTGGGTTCTCTTATCAAACCTACATTATATAATATAAGATAAGATATGTTTACATGTAATACACACATCATAAATCAATGAAATTATTAGAATCTCTGAAACATGTTTACATGCATAATACATTAAATGATGGTTTACCAAATTCGTCAAGGGGAGCTTCATCGTAGTAACGAGTGGTCACAAACGACGAGCTTGTTCTTCCAAAGTTGGTTCCACCATGATACTAAAATAATCATATAATTAAATAAAAAAGTTATGAAATAATGAATATAATAGTATTCTTTTTGTTCAAGAAACAATCCTTAAGTTCATACCATGTAGTAGTTTGTCATGCTTCCGTTATTCATGAAGAATCGAGCAACTGAAAATGCGATATCTTCTGCTGCTCTTTGAGAAGGTGGATCTCCGAAAACCCGATATCTGTATATTCGACAAAAATTAATATAGAAAAAACAAAAACAAAAATAAATATTTTCTAAAAGAATATTTATATATGAACTATAAAGCTTACTGAGCAGTCCAATTTTCGGTCCATAAAGAAGGTTTATTTGGGCCGTTTGGCCCGCCAAAGGTATCTGCACAATGCCTTCCGTTGCATGTACTTATCTAGCCACAAATAATAACGTTTAATCCAATTAGAAACAAAAATTAGAATATTATAAACTAATGAATTATTTGTGTAGAGATACTATATAAAATTTGTTTTTTATTGTTTAATACGTAGTACAAAATGAACTTTATAGAAATAAAACTTACTACATTTGCAGGGGCATCCTTTTGCTTACACATTTATCCATGGAACATCAGGATACAACCCAGTTGCCATATCTGCAGCCCACTTCACATATTGAATACCTTTCTCACGATATGATTCTTGAACATGGTTATATTCGTTTTCAATCTTCATTAATAAATCACAAAAGGAGATATAAGTTATATCTGATATATAATACTTCAAACGATTGTTTAACGAAAGATGCATTGCATAATAGTAGTATGAAATACCTGTGCAAGGATAATTGGGCCTCCTTGAGGTGCAAATAGCTTCTCCTTCTTCATCATGTTTATAATCATTTCGCTGTATCTTTTCATATGAGTCTACACATATAATCAAAAACATTTTAATTATGTGATTCTATATTACATTCATACATCAAAACAAAGCTATTTACTGTGTGTGTGTGTGTGTTTTGGTATGAATAAAGTTTTAAAATGATTACCAACCATGTAGGGTTCGTTATATGACCGGAATATGATGTTGGGTACATCTCTCAGCCAAAATGGAAGTCCTCTGTTTAAGAACAATTTTTTCGGATAATCAAATAATTTAATGCAAAAATTATTTATTTGACATAAAAATTAAAAAACTTTACCCAAGATTCCATTCTGCCTGAATGAAAGGACCAAGTCGTAGGATTGCATACAAATTATTTTCAGCAATCAATTTGATGAATTTCACCAAATCATAATTTCCTGTAAAATTGAACTGCAATATAGAAATAAAAATTAAATAGGTTTTCACAAATAAAGTTAAAATTAAGAGAACAAAAAAAACAAAAAAACAAAAACAACCTGGCCTTCAACAGGTTTCATGGACGTTCCAAAAAACATAAGTTTCAATGGTATTTAATCCTCCTTCCTTTGCCATTCTTATGATATGAGGCCACATCTATTTCAAAACACAAACACAAGTTTTAAATGCAAATAAATTAAAAAAACGAAACACTTCAAATTGAAATGATACACACCTCCGGAGTGCTACGCGGATAATGGATGGAACCCGAGAATAAGAGTATCGGATTCCCATTAACAATAATCGACCTAGCATTGTATGTTACAGGTCCGGGAGTGTATTCATTGTCATCAGTATCAGAATAAACAGATATCAAGGAGGTGGTGATTAAGAGGAGTATGAACCTTGTACGAAATATATTGTCCATGTTTTGTTTTTGTATAATCTGTAGGGAAAACAATGATAAACTTAAATATTGGGTGATCGGTGACCAAGGTTTTTACAGGGGAGAAAAATAAATTGAAACATATTGCCTAAAGGCTTAAGGTTCAAAACGTGCAAATTGAATAGTTCATGTTATTTCAACATTTTTGTTATATGAGAGACAAATGCGGTAAGTAAAAGGCATTAGAGGATCTTTCGGGTCGATATGTATATTTCTAGCTTGTGGATCAGGTTTTCTCTCCCTTTATTTAGCATAAGTTTGGTATATTTAAGCAAATCATTTTGTCCGATAAATAATTTTCAAATCTAAAATATGATGTTATTGTATTGCTTTCATAACTTATGCATCATGTAATAAATTGATCTATATTTGTTGAATTGGTCGAATATACGGTAATGTAGGACTTAACAAGAAGCTCGGATTTTAAGGGATGACCATGTTGCCAGAAGCCCATAAGTCCGATTATGTTTAAAAAAATGTGGATGTCATGTCAGCACCACATGGTAAGGTCTTTTACTGGCTATATTCTTCTCCCTTCCAAAAATAACATTTTTGATACTTAAATTAAAAGTTTAATGACCTATTTCCAATTAGTGCATGTTCTGACATGGAACATACATTTCTTTGGTCTCAACCATCGCATATACATCCCATAAACATTTATATCGGATGGTTTTCTCACATTTTGAGGAATGTTACATTATTACTATGATGATGGATTGAGAGTGATGACCTTAGAGATCGGGTGTTGCATGTTTTTGCACAATTATATTGTTACGTCGTGTCTAACTAGACTATTTACTCATTTTACACTGAAATGTATTAATTGTGGTATGTATATGTTCAAAATAAAATTGTTACCAAGGGTTAGACTCATAATATAAAATTATAATATAACACATCTTTATAATATTATATCCCAAATCAACTAACATTTATAAAATTACACATCTTTATAGTGATAATAATCAAGTAAATTGTAAAGATTTATTAAGCCCTAAATGGCAAAAAGTGCTGGAAGGATGTTTTAGAAGTGTTCTGAATTCTTATAATCTAGCGAACAACATGTAAAGGTCAAATTTGTAGGAGATTATAGTTAAAACATGAACTCCTTGATCTTATGTGCTGATATGTAACTGGGTAGTTGGCATTTTGTCATCAGACGATTATATTTGTTTTTATTGTTATAGTAACAGTTTCAGTTTCTTTCTCCTTTGGAAACTCCTTGTTATAATAATTTTTTGGGAAATAATTCAACCTTCACATAATTTAAGAACATGAAATGAGATTATAAGTTCCGGTCATTGAGTTAGGATTATCATTATTAAATGTTACAAATTACATTAAAAAATGTTTTCATAAATTGTCTCCAACACTGTTATTAGAAGTGTTGTTGGAAATATAAACAAATCATTATTGATTTGTTGCTTGATGAACCGATTTGTGCTTAACATCACGGTTTATGGATTGTGCCGTGAATAGTGTCGCAAGAGTCCTTGGTCTTACACCAATTTAGAAGGTTTTGAAATACCCTTTGAAACGTGGAGTAAGGCCTCATCCCTCACTAAGTACATTTGAAATCCTATGATTAAGAGATTTACATTCCTCATGGAGTGCTTGACAATATAGCACTTAGATTAGAGATGTGTTGTCTCGTTGGACATCTCATCAAGCGTTTTGGGTAACTATTTTACAAAGATTTTAAAAACAAAATGTTTGTTGCTCAAAGGGCAGTCTTCTAAGAGAGGGAGTTGATATCTAAAAGGGTTAGTAGGAGCCACATTGATCTTGATAAGATTCAAGCATCAACCAACGAAGAACCAAAAGTTGGTCCTAGAATTCAATTCGAGATTGAAAAATCTATTGAGGAAACTAACATACCTCCAACTCTTCGTAATAGACTTGATAGAAGACATCATACACCTATCCGTATAGATTGAGGTTATATGAGTCACTAGTAGACAATAATCAGAGTGTGCCAGCTATCGGAAGTCATGACATGCCTTATAAGGGTGTAAAATGGAAGTAAGACATGGAGAGCGAGATTCTTTATACGAATGTTTAAGAACTTTGTTGATCAAACACTTAGCATTAAAACCGTAAGTGTTAGTAGATCTTCAAGAAGATAACAAACGTGGATGTGAACTGACACATATTCAAACCAAAGTAGGTTATGAAAAATGTGTAAGCTTATGAAGTTCATTTATGAACTGAGTGACCATCTCGCAGGATAGGATCTTTACTTTCATGAAAAATTTAAAGAGTTTAAATTCCAAGAATCAAAGATGGACCATAAGGTATGTCGGGGACAGTGAGAGTTATTGGAATTCTCTTTTCAATGAGAAAGTTAAAAGAGTTTGAATTTAGAGAAATGAAATTTATATATTTATATATATATATTTATATATATATGTATATATTATAATATCTATATATGTGTGTGTGTGTGTGTTGTGTGTGTTTGTATGTGTGCGTGTCTGTATGTGTGTGTGTGTGTTTGTGTGTGTTAATTGTTGGATTTGGTATCTAAGTCCATAACTATAATTGATGTGTACTTGACCTGATTGTAGCATGGTCCTTTTGGGTTGCTTTCACCAGTGCAATTTGATAGGATGAATTTTGAGAATAAGGTTATTTATGGTTAATTAATACATTATGAGTATAATATATTAATATGAGGTTATTTAATTAGTATTGATCAAGAATTAATTTGGAATTAATTTTGTGGTCAAAAGAGACTAATTAAATATATGAAGATTGATTATGTAAATCAATCATTCTTATAGTGTGGGCTAATGATCCATGATTATGGGCTAAACTAATCCATGGATAGTCCAATGAGGTTAAACCCATGGAGCATGAGAATGTGGAAAGTCATGGGTTATTAGGGTTTACCAAGTGTAACCCTAGCATGTCCAACACTATAAATAGAACCCTCCATAGCCAAAAACGGGGGCACCTTCTCATTGAGATAAGTAGCCTATTCTCTTAAATCATCCTCTTGCATATTGGTGTTTGTGAACCATTAGAGGCATCACACTTGAGGTGCTCAAGCTTTCAAGGGTTAAGAACTACAAGTCCTTCAAAAGGTATGTCATCTCTATCTAGATGTTTTATTCATTGGCAATTGTTTTTATGCTAGTTAGGACAATGCTTTGGAAAAATTGAAAATATGCATGTATAATAGAGAAAACATAGATCCAAAGCATTTAGGGTTGCATGTGCACCATAGGAGTGTTATAGTGCTCAAAACCCAACAGTGGTATCAGAGACTAGGATTGTTTTCTATTATATTTGATGCTTACTAGTTTTTCAAAGCTGAAAAAAGCGAAATCTGGCACCTGACTGGTGAACTCGCCGAGTACATGAACAGACTCGACGAGTCCACTCAGTAACAGAGCAACTCGCCGAGTCCAGTTCATTACTCGACGAGTTGAAGGCTCTGTTTGCAGAATTCGAGTTTCTTGGCCTGGTTTGGATTGGGAACACTACCACAAATGTTTTGGATCATTGGAAATTTTTTTATGATAGGTAGTGCTTGTACTCATCCAACCACAAGATAATTGTCAAGGTTTTAAAATAATGTTGTTTTTATATGATAAACAAAATTGCTTTCAAATTGTTGACTAGAAGTTATCTTGATTATGAGTTTAGTTAGATCAAAGATTATGTGATAATTTTAGTTGTTAGAAAAGTGATCTAAATGAATTTAATGACCTCCAAACTTGTCCTCAAGTTATGGAAAATGAAAGGTCTCATACATTAAAATCCAATTAAACTCATAAGTTATGAATGTGAAGAGTTTTGACAAGTTTCAAAACTTGCCCTCAAGTTTTGGAATTTGTAAAGTCACATAATGAAACTTTAATTCCAAACCCTAGAGTTTTAAAAGTTAAAATTCAACCCTTATACTTTATAAAAATATTATAAGTTTAATATATATATATCTATATATATATATATATATATATAAGACAAGTCGGTCTTACCGTTAGTAGGCCTCATTCACAGCCGGTCTATAGGGGGGTATAAGGTTACTGCCTATAAAAGTAGTTTAATGGGTGTCCACTCTCACCCACCGCTTCCTGACTGGTGGAGGGTCGTTAGCCGAACGGGAGGATAGGACATTAATTCTCCCTCATTAAAAGTATAATGCTAAAAAATAAAGTAACTAAACTTTTATTAAAATTCTCAATCTTAGTTACTTTAGGAAAAATGTGAAATGGTGCTAATTCATGGAAATTACACTTTGCACCTTGTTAAGTCGTTAGTGGAGCGTGTGTGTGGTTAACCGACACTAATCTGGGATTGACAATGTGTGGCAAAGGGTAAAACTGGTGTTAATCATAGATCAATGGAGCGTGTGGTGGTTAACCGACACATTGATTAGGTGATTTGTAACATTGGGTGTACCAGCTAATTTGCATGGTTATTCACACCTTGTTTGTGATCCTCAGCATCCCAGTCACAAACTTGAAAGGAACAATCGAGTTTTAAACATGCCATTTAAAAGGTTTAATGAATCTCAAAGATCTAGGAATTTCAAACCAATTAAAACTTAATAATCTATTTCGTTTTTCACGGTGGAAATTGGAAAATCGTCATTACCTACCTTCAAATATTTTACAATTGGAT